AGATTATGGACGCAAAGTTGTAAACGTATTTTTTGCATAATCTATTTACGTAAGAATGTAGGAGTTAAAATGTAATTTTTTGAATTGATTTAACAAAGTTTATCTTTCTAATTAAATTTGTCGAATGTCAGGATGTTTGATGACTGTTCAATTATTTTTTGTGAAATTACTCTATATAATACAAAGATCGAACACAGAAAAAAATCATTCGATCAACCAACATCTTCTAGCAACCCTGCCAGACACTGCCAACTAAGTCGCGGAACAAGCTAGCGGACCTCACGAATTTTTCTGTTTTTTTTTTATAACATCAAGTGACGGGACTGACAAGTCGTAATGGTAAGTTATGTCCATGACAACTCAGAGCTTTAAATTGAAAAAATCTGAAGGGCACTGCCGCTGCGCCCGTCGCCCTGAGACATAAGTTGACAAGTCCCATGTGCCTGTAATTTCACCAAATGTGCTGTGTACTTGTTGCAGATCTTTGTTTATGGTTTTTTAACGACTTTTGGCCATAGCACCATCTGTGAGAAATCTGTTTCTTTACTCAGCCAGGTACCTTTACAGCTACCAGCAGCTGACTAGAAAAGTCGATTGAATAATTGTAAGTAAGTTTATTGAATATCAAGAGCCTTCACCATCATGATATTTAATTATTATTTTTTAAATTATTCCACTAGTTTGTTATAATTATAAATACAAACATCGAACAATTAGAAAAAACCAACGTCTTCTAGCAAACATCTCTATCTTTCTAAATACCAGGTTTCACAGTAAGATTTGTAGCATTAGAGCTCCTTGTGGAAGAGTTCGTCCAGGGAAGTGCTAAAACCCATTTCTGCCGCCAAGCAGTAATGCTCGTATTACTTGCGTTCCGGTTTTGAATGGGTCCTGGTGAAATTATAGGCACATGGGGTTTGTCAACGTATGTCTCAGGGTGATGGGCGCAGTGGCAGTGTCCTTACATCTTTGCGATTTAAAACTCTGAGTGGCAATGCAACTGCTATGGCCAGGCGTGTCCCTTACCAGCAGGCGCACGACTTGTCCGTCCCGTCACTTGGTGTTGTAAAAAAAATCTTTATAAATCTCCCTTGATAATTATCTTTGTATAAAATTAATTGAAACAACATAATGTTGCCGCTAGCAATATCTGGCCATGTGTTTGTATCAGATACGTATGCAAACGTATCACGAGTCAATCTCAAAAAGATTTTTATTTAATTTTCTCACTATTTCTCATTTTTAGTCGATAAGAGGCAAAACTGTGAATCAGCATGGATAATTAGATATTACGGTATTATTTTATTACTGCTTATTTATTATTATGATAATTTATCAAAGAAAACAAATGTTTTGATAATTTTGGAACCCTGCTAAATACCAGTTGCGTAATAATACGTTCTCTAAAGTTAATTATCCCCTTAATTATAAACTAGGTCTAAGTTAAAGAAAATATTTTTATTGTTTTTATTTTTATTTTTAAAATAATTGTAACAGTATCCTTTTTGTTATCAGTGCAAAACTTGAGATTGCACGTCACTAAATAAAGCAATTAAATTAATAGACGTTTTGCAATTGAGAGAGTGTCAATAAAACATCCTAACACCTGTGGAACCGGTTTTATATTTAAAAATGTCCTACACAATAAACCATGTTGGACACTCTTACCCCAGTTGGACAACAGTGGGGTAAGTATGTCCAACAATTGTATTTTTCTTTACAAGTCAAAAAAACATTTTGGCATTTCTTTGTTTATAAGTAAAGGAGACAGTGTTGTTTGTATTTTCAAAAATACACTCTTACCTAAGGTTTTTATAAAGTTTTTTCTTATGGCGTCACCTTATTTGTGTCGCTTACAACCAGTCGCACGACTGGTGTTATAAAAAAGAAGTTGATTGACCCATATACCACGTTGCATCTTTCTACATAATTTAAGTTGAGGATATATTCGGCACCCTTTATTTGGCCCCAAGGACTGAATAGCCTAATGGACGCGAGGTGCAAATTTTGGCAAGCCTAATGCTCTGCTCTTCATGATTTTACTACCCCAACCTAAAGTCTACCTCCAGCTACAGTTTGCAGGATTAATCCGGCTCAAAATAATTGTTCTTGCGGGTCCACCACATAAACTATGTCTCACTTGCTCTCATGCCTACTGTGTCCGAGCAGTTGCACCCGCGAAGACCTGCTATAGGCAGCGGATAGAGGTATAGAGGTGGCTACTTTTGTTATTGACTCGACAAGAAGAAGTTGAGGGTCACAGTGGCCCCTCTATGTGCACTTGATGTGAAGGTTCCAGGCTCTATTCGCGGCTATATCAGTTTAACAAGCTTTTATGGTTTTGCTCTGTTTCGCTTTTATTTTTATTAATTTATTCAAGAAAGAGACAGTCCGTACCAAAGCACTAGATATTTTGACAAAATATTATTTAAAGAATCTGGCTTTCCTTTTATTCTTTTTTTTTTTCAATTATTTTTTATGTGAAATTACTCCATTCACAAAAATTTGAGTTGTTTTAAAATAATCCCAATACCACTTAAGAGATTTACTGATTTTAGGTATTGTAGACGTTCCGTGTGTGTGGCATACGTTTTTAAAGCCGTGTGTAAGCCCAAGCGATATAACTTCCACGTCTGACGGCCGAAGTAGGACTATGCGGACAGGGGGAAGCGTGGCTGCACTGGTATGGGCGGACCGCCTGCGAATTTAGTTATTTCCTTCGTATTGTTAAAAAAAAAACATATTTTGAAAATGTACGGGTTATACGTTATAGAAAACGTGTAGTTTTGTTATTATTCAAAAACTTATGACCTTCAGTGAAGTATTTACGCCGTATTAAGGGTTTATTTTGTTTTTTAGAGATAAATTCGGATTATTTTTCTGTTGAGGAAATTACAAGTAATCATGTTTTTGAAGAGTATGATTTATAAAGTAAATTCTTAAATATCTTATACACTAATTTCATAACTAAAGCTTAACTAATAACAATACAGAAAGGGATCAAACGAACGCAATTATTTTGAAATTACGTCGCTGCCTCAGCGGCGTTGTCCTAACCTTTTAAGCGTGATTGTGAGGTATTTTAAAAAGTATGCAAAGGTATTTCTTTCAACAACTATCACCTTTAACCAACCTCAAACACGCAAGTATGTATCACTAAATAATAAAAAACGGGACCAAACCCGAAAAGGGGTGAAAACTTTCAAAACACATTTTTATTACAAAATAAAATTCCTGATAAAATTTATGGCGCCTTCGAAAAATTTGAAACTTCTATTGCACCATTACTCATAATCATTTATGGAAAAGAAAAAGGGATGGAACATCAAAGAGAGATGGAGGCAGACAGGGACAAGCATTTAGAGATAAGAATGCGTGTGAATGAGACGGATATATTGACACAGAGCCGCCCTTTTGATAGTGTTTCCAAATTTTCGGAAAGCATTGTACTTTGTTTGACATTAGGCTAGCTTTACATGGCGCAGAAATTACATATAATAAGAATTCATATTCTTCGTATTAATTATTCATATAAAACTACTTTTTATAAAAATAATTTAATATTATGTATATTAAATTATTTTTATAAAAATGTAAATCGTAAATTATAATTTAATTAAAAGTAACACCCTGTCGTTGATAGGCTCGATAACTCAAGAGTAGGAAATAAACGATAATAAGCTGTTATGTTTATAACAATCTGCTTGATCTAATTTAATGACCTAGGAATAAAGAAACGTTTCTTTTTCATTTAATTTGACAAATTTATTTATTTATTTAATCATTTATTGTCCAGGACACACATAATTCGCAATTTCACACACGACAGAAGGTACTGCTTTTTCCTAGAAATTTCTTCCTGCAAACCTAAGTACAGAACACAATAATTAAAATGAACGTGTTAACAAATTATATTTACGGTTGTTGGTTTCTTGGCTAAAGGTACACAACATCAATAAAAACAATACCATAGTAGTTTTAATATAAGTGACTATAATACAAATGTTTTCAAACTCAAATCTGGTTGTCAAAATGAATCTATTACGAATTCGAAAAACGTCGCTTATATTATTAGGTGTATCATTTTATGTTTGTGTCAGCATGTAAGCCCTCCCTGAGCATAATGCACCGGCCCCCTGTACTATCCACCCAAGGGTACATTAGAGGGGTGCAATTTTTGCCATTTTACCAAAAAAATACACATCGCACGCGTTTTTACTTAAAACACGTCAGTTTTCGTCGCACGCGCACTCGATAGCACGTGCTGTTCCAAATGTGAAAGTTCAAAAGTTCGAAAGATCATTATTGAAATTTGACATTTAGAAGATTTGACATTAAATTTAATATACAATATCTTTGGTGTATTTCTGATGTGTGAAGAGTTGTTTCGAGTTGTATGTGTTGTTTGATGATGGTGCTAAGGACTAATCGATGAGCATTTGGTCTATGAAGGATATACTGGATCTCAGCAAGGATAGGTGAGAATCTTGTTAGAATTTGATCGATCAGCTGGGTTTATTGGATTTTTTATTTTTGATATTTTGTGAGTTGTGGTATTCATTGAGAAGAAAACTGTTTAGTAGAGTAAGCATTTTATTTAGTCTTAAGTATAGGAAATTATGCTATTTTTGCGGATTTAAATCGCTTATATTTGTTTTTTCAAACAAACCAACGTTTCGGGCCCTTTACAGGTCCCATGGTCACGGTTGACAAAAAAAGTACACAAAAAAAAATCAAGAAGTGCGCTCTCGGACGCCACGAGACGACGTAACGCAAAATTACTGTCACCTTACGGTATCTGAAGATGAGTTTCAGAATGACATGTGCCTAGTACTATCTTTACATGTGTATATGCGTTATTATTCTAAGTGTATAAAGTTAACTGCCTCCGTGGCCCAACGGTTACCACGCCAAGGTCCCAGGTTCGATTCCCGGCCGGGAGAAATAGTTGTATGGCCTACATTTATTTTTCTCGTGAGTTTGGGTGTAATTTGTGGTTGTCTATGTGTGTGTCCATGGCACCCGCGACACAGGGTTTCCTTAGTGCGGGGCTATGTTGAGTGTGTGCGTTATACTAGGTTCGGATATTAATAAATGGCGTTTGCAAATTCCAGATGCGGCGGTGACGCGATGTCAGTGGCGCCGGCGGTGAAGCGCGATCTGGAGCTGGAGGCGGGTGGCGGCAGCCCGGGCCGCAAGCGGCGCAAGCAAGCGGCGCCGTCGCGCGCCACGCCCGCGCATGTGCCGCCGCTCGCACCACCGCCGCTTGACCTGCACGCCAAGATGGCTGACATCTACAAGAGCGCACTTGCCTTCGGCGAACTTGCGCTGCCTGCTTTCGATCCGCTCGCCGCCTTTCGCCTGCTCCCGCGACACGACCCACCGCGCATCTTCAACCCCGAGGCCTACTGCGACCTCTGCTGCAAGGAGTTCTGCAATAAATACTTCTTGAAGACGCATCGCGCGAACAAGCACGGGATCTACGACGGTAACGACCTGCAGCCAGCCGCTCCGCCGCCCGCGCAGCCGTCGCCGCCGCGAAGGGCCTCCGACGAGGACTCCGGCGGCACGCCGCGACGGCTCTCCCCGGACTCGGCAAGAAGGGCTCGAGAGTCCGGATTCCAACCCGACGTCCTGCGGAGACTCGGCGTGGTGAATCCCGAGGCGTTTTGCGAAATTTGCTGTAAGGAGTACTGCAATAAATATTTTTTGCGAACGCACCGGGAAAGAAAACATGGAGTACCTGCGCACCGATCTCCGGCAGGGGAGCAACAGTCTCCTCCGTTAATGACTCCGTCGATGACTCCGCCGATGCCCACAGGCTTGGGAACCCCAATCGGCACCCCGCTGCCCACACCTCTGGCCACGCCACCGGCGCTACCGGGCCCGCCGCCCGACACACCGCCACGGTCACAGTCGCTGCCTCCGCCGTTCGACACCGAGGAGATGGCAATGGAAGTGAAACGCGAATGCGAGGAGGAGTTGGAGGCGGCGCTACGCGACGGTCAGACTAGTCCTCTGAACCTCATAGTGGAGGAAAGGGGTATAGCGTCACCCGGCTCCGCGAGTGAGGAGTTGCGAAAACTACAGACGATGATATCGCAACTGAACGAGCTAGCGGCCGAGCGACTCGCCGAGGATCCCAACGACCACCCTCGGCCGCCGTCCTCGTCGCCCCCGCCGCCGGACGACCGGCGGGCGTCCTCGTCCGGCTCGAGTTTCTGCGAGATCTGCAACAAGGAGCTGTGCAACAAGTATTTCATGCGAACGCACATGCAGCGCATGCACGGGATCTCGCTCGAGAGCGGCACGCAGCTGGGCGGCGTGACCTGCGACATCTGCCACAAGGAGCTCTGCAGCAAGTACTTCCTGCGCGTCCACAAGCACAACACCCACGGCATCCCGGCGCCGCCGACGCCGGCGACGGCCGCGCCCGCGGAGCCGTGCCCGCTGTGCGCGCGCCGGTTCCGCGGCCCGCG